TTACAAGCCATGGCTTGAATTTTAAAGAAAAGTGATCAGTAGAAAAACAATAATCAATATCTAAAAGAATATAGTAGTTATAAAGTATTCAATTAAATTTATATTAGTTACTAACTCCTCAAGGGTTATAAACTATAGAAGTTTTCTTTCTTTAGAAATTTAGTGAAGTTTGAGTACAATATGCTTTCAGCTAAGAAGATATGAGTTGTTATATGTAGTAAATTGGTCTAGATAAAGAATATAATATTGTCAAAGTTGTTTTTTAAAAGAATTATAAGTTGAGATTTGATAAGAGTATTGATTCCAGAAATATAGTATCTTCATAAAAAGTATATAAGATATTGTAGATTGGATTGTAGATAATATTTACAGAAACCAGTAGTTTTTGACAAATATAATTATTATATAATAGTTATATAATTATTATATGATAAAAATATTATAAGCATAAAATATGATAGATATATAATTAATATATTACTAATATATAACAAATATATAATAAAAATATAATAAAAATATTGCAAAAAATGCTGTTAGAAGTGATTTAATATATAATAATAATATATTAATTATAGGATTATAATTTACTATAATAAGGGTTTGGCCCTGTAGCTTACTAGTTAAGCTCCCAAACCCCACAGACAAGGTCAACGGTTCGATTTGGACTGGTAGTAAATTTTCGAATTTGTTATTGTAACCTTAAATGGAGCCATAATCGGATGTGAAGCCTTGTGAAAAGTTCAAGTGAAAGTATGGTTTTGGAATAGGAATTCCCAGAAGAAGCCCTGATCATGAAGTGCAGGCATCATGTGTGACAGTGGCATTATAGAAGGTCTAGGCTGTAAAAGATCGTGCGGGTTAGTTCTCTAGTTGGGATGACTTAGAAGCAACACCAATATCTCTTCATCTCTATATTAGGCAACACCAACATCCTCACATCCAACTTGTAGAGTACTTGCTTAGAAGGAGAATCAACGGATCGTGCGTATTAATCCTAATTTAGAAATGGTGCTGGGTACTTGCTTGGGAGAGTGATATAATACTACCAAAACTGAAATGGTGAAAGAAGGTGTGAACATATGAAAGGGCTGTGGTAAAAGGTTTGGCCTTACCTAAACAAGAAGCACCTCTGGCACCATGGACAACTAGCTAAAGAAGGTAATTTTATAGAGGCAGGCGAGCTAATCTAGTATATATAAAGGAACCAAGTCAGAGCACTAGTTATATCTATATGGAGGTCATTGATAAAAGAAGCCAGAATATACCAACAATAATGCAACACCAACCAATGATGAAGAGTCAAGTTGGAAGTCAAGGTTAATTGGGGTACGCCTCCTAGTAACATGATGCAAGGCCTATGGTTGGAAGTAGAATTGCTTGCCACTTAAGGAATTTTATAGTGTTAGGCTGGTCTTTAATAAGATAGGTCATTAAAGCAACTATACAATATGGGGTGCCTTGTATTAAAAAGGCCCATTTTGCCATATAGTTTATTTTGAGATAATTGAGTTTAAACATTTGTTTTGATTTTCAGACTGATCCGAGATTAAGTAAATTTCACAATTTTGATTGGTTAAAGGTAGCAGGTGACTATCGGGTAATCTCGTGATGTGCCTGGCCTTTGGCAGCATCGTATAATTTTTCTTTTACATTATCTTCAGTTTTTATTATGCAAATCGATCTTTATTTATAATTAAAAATGTCAATCACATTAAAATTTACATGAATCTAATGAAAACTCAATTTTTGAAAAAATTGCAAAATGGGCTTTTTTAATACGAGACACCCTATATAGTTTGGTAATATACCATATGAGGAAGTACAAATAGATTAGTTAGTACTACTATATCAGAAAAAGAATGTTAAGTTTTGGGGTGGCAAACCAGCGGTGGCAGCAGGGCTTGGCTTGAGATACAGGTTAGTAGTATCTGGGCAGATAAGTAGGAGATTAGGGCATTCATGGAGAGAGATGATGTATGAAGGGATGCAAACTGGTTGAGGCTGTGCAAACTCAAGATAAGTCCTTAATTCAACAATGGAATACCAACTTTGTCATGTGGTGAACCTAACTAAGCAGCAAGTTTCTAGTTTGAGATATGAGGCTGTTAGACCATCTGCACTAATTACGATTGCACGAATAAAATACCTTAGAGGAAAATAGCAGTGGATTATGCTTGCAGATATACTAACTTGGGAGCTCATTAGGAGCAGATACCCAATGTACCAAATTGGAAGTTATGACTGGTCAGGTGAGACGTTGAGGGAATGTGATATTACTAGAAATAGTTAGTTAAGAAGCATTAATTTAGATGAGATATGTGTGGGGCATGAACTACTCTAGTAGGTTTAGGTCATAGATAAATTAGTCTAAGTCTCTATAGTGCTACATTAGCATATATATAAGGATATATCTAAGTATATGTTAATAAAAACCAAAGGCGTAACCTCACCTTAAATATTAAAAAAAAAAAAAATTTACTATAATAAAAATATGAGAAAAATATAATAAATATATGATAAATATATAATAAATATATAATAAATATAAAATAAAGGATTTAATAATTTTTCACATATGCGATATATTGCCACCTATAGGATCTGTGTAATATAAAATCAAAACAACCCAAAATGACCTGATTTTTCATTAGTTAGGGTTAGGGAAAGGTGAAAGTAGTGTAAAGGTGATAAGAGGAGGTTTAATAGTAAAATTTCACAAGGAATTTTTTTTGTTAAAGCATAAAGAATAGTTTCATAGCAAATTTTTTGGGTTACAGACAATTTTTTAAAAAAGACAATAATTAGTTTCGATTTTACATTATACCTGATCTTGCATTCTAATTGGTCGATCAGGGGTAGCGTTATATTGCTATAGTGATAAATTACAATGCCCTAAAATAAATATATAATAAAAATATAATAAAAATATACTAAATATATATTTAATATATATATTTTTTTTATCTTTGCAATGGCGAATTTTTATTAGATATACAGTATTAGTAGTACATTCTTAGTTAACAAGAGTATATTCTAGTCATACCTGCGTCTTTTGAGCGCCTAATTAAATAGCTACCTATTACTAGAATTTACACTAAATGCTGTATCTATAACCCACTATTATTTGAGCTATTCAATTAAACTTTCTGGTGTTCCTGTCCTGCACCACCACCTTAATTATGCCAACCTATAACCTTGTGCTGCTTTATTAAAAACTACCCAGATTAACATGTACTATACTACTTGTGCTCTAATTCAATAGATAACTAAGTAGGGTTCTTCTACTTACCAGATTACTCTATAGAAGGTGTAGTATATACTTCTCTAATCTTTTTATATCCTACATATTCTCAGACTAGGCCTTTTCAGTAACTTACACTGAGTCTAAGAACAAGTACTTGCGAGCTGAGACCACTACAGTTACCTACTACTATCCTTGTAAAGTTTATCCAAACTCCAGTATCTACTTTACAGACTTCTTTCTATACTTCTGGAAACCTAAACTCCCAATTTGATGGCCTAGAAGAGCGGAACCCTTCCTCTGGTTATCTGATAGCCTGGTTGGTATTGTGCCTTGCCAAACACCTCGGTCCTGTCCGGTTTTCTGGTATCCGGTTAATCATCCTTTATATAGTAATTGTTGAAGATTTATGCTACCTCTCCACTCAGGTCTTGCAGACTTCTATATTCTGTAAATTTGCTAGATTGATCTAGTAGCTTCACTCGAGTTTTGTGTAACTTATACATTACACTACATGTTTCACTACCTTCCAGTACAAGCTGGTATGACCACTATTACAGGTTTTATAATCTAATAAGTTACAGTCTTTCAAATATATTTTCTATAAATTTGATTTTTCATTGTTGATAAGATTTGAACTCAATCAAAATTTTAAAATTTAAAGAAATTTTTAATAAGTTAACCTCTCTTGGGCTTCTAAATAAAGTTGTAGAGAAGGTTTTTTTGATTTTAATGGTGGGTGAATCCCAAGATATTTGGGATTAAAGACTCAAACATAAGGATCTGCAAATTGGTGGTTACACAAAGTATTATAGATCATAATACTTTGTGTAACTACCAATTTGCATATCCTTATGTTCACATCTTTAATCCCAAATATCTTAGGATCCACCAAGCCAATTTTGATGATCTAATCATCATTAGAATTAGAAAAACCTCCTCTACAACTTTACTTAGAAGCCCATCAAACCCTAACTTAATAAAAACTTCTTTAATTTTTAAAAAATTATAAATTTTTATATTATTGGTTAAAAATCAATATAATATTAAAACTAAAAATAGAAACTTTTGTGTAATTATGGTGAAAATAGCAATTTATAATAGTAGAAATAGGGCTACTCTTTAAATATATATTAAATATATATTTAGCATATTTTTATTATATTTTTATTATATATTTATTTTAGGCAATTTCTATTTATATACGGAGTGTACAAACACGTATCACATGACCATAATGAATTTATAAATAAATAATACTAATGCTAAGTACTATGTATATATATATTAAACATAAAACATATAATATGTTTTAATTAAATCATAATAACCTAATACAAATTATAATCATAATATATTAATTTCCTCGTGACCATGTTCAACCAATGAATCACAATATATGTTAGAAATCAAAAAAAATTAAATATAGAGAATACGATGAAGCATTTCATGTAATTAGCAATTATAGATATCAATATGTACTTTGTATAAGCATAAAATACTCTTGAGTAAATATACTAATACTAACTAAACCACTCTAACTAAGCTCTAATAATGTTAGGGTTTTGATCAAGATATGGAAAAACTTGACCTAAGTCACTAGAGTCAATTAGAGCTCTAGAATACGTCATGAGTCTCCTAATATGAAATCACAGGTTCTGATACTAATTTCTATCGTTAATACAGATTTTACTTATTGGGAATTAGTTAACCAAACACTTTATAATGTACTTTACGTACGTATATACGTACAAATATGGTATCCATTATTAAAGATATTATACTATTTAAGGTTAGAATCGACGCTTTAAGAAAAAATTAGTAATGATAATACAGGCACATTGCGACTATAAGTTAGTAATAGCAACACAGCAGATAAAACAATAGAAATTGATTAATTCAGCCTAGTAGTAGTTTTTTCAGTACATCAATTTCTAACACCAACTATAACCAGATTTCATCCAAATAACTCAACTATATTGACAGGTTTTCGCATAATGCCCATACTGCTTACACTTTTCACACCTTCATCCAACTGCATTATTTGTCACATTTTCTGAAACATTTGAAGTACCTGTGCTATCTATCGTGTTGACGTTTGTATGACTTAAAACCCGATTTTCCTTATTTGTAGCTTTTTCAAAGCTTACCTTGAGTCTTTTTGGAGGTCATCCTTTATGTCTAACTATGGCAGGATTATTAATAACAGCTGCGTATAGATTTCCTGTTTCTAGATCATTTAATTTGTTCTGAGCATCAAAAATAAAAGTCTTTAATATGTTTAATAATTTGGGTTGCAAATCAACTTTAATGGCCAAATCGATTGCTTTCTTTGACAGCCCAATTAACTCTGCATATTTAGCCTTATTTGATTTTGCAGATTGTTGACAACCAGATGTGCTGGCCCGAATTGAAAATAGATGCTGAAAATTGATGCTTGTTTTAAATCCTGCACTATCAATTGGATAAGATATACCACATACTGGAATAAACGGATACTGCTGCAAAAGATCACTTTGTTCAATATTAGGATTCAAAAACCATCTACTTGGGATCATGCTTATATGGAAGGTGGCATGTCAGAAGTAAGTATCAACGTAGAAGAAATGTCAACATATTAGCCCTTTGTTTAACAAAAGAAGGCAGATACATAAATGCGTGCCATCAAGAAGCAAGATTATATAATGGCCTATTTTTTGGGTTTCGGTAGCACGTATGTTTCAAACTTCTAAAATTTCTTCTTGAGATATTGTTTTAACCAATAAACTGAAAAGGATTTGTCGTGTATCCTGTTCTTGTTCTCTTATTCCTGTATTTAACTCTTCATTATCAGCTTTCATCTGTAATAAAATAATATAAAGGGTAAGTAACAAATTAATACCAATCACAACAATCTTACTAATTACATATGCTCTATAAATTATTGCTCGCATTAATTACAGTCTTGCAATAAGTACATAAAGTTGATTTTGTTATGTTTTATAACGAAAGTGACTGTATAATTCTCTAACACCAAATCTTACACTAATTTATGTTTTCACCCTAACTCTAATGATATACCATATTTAATCTAACAAACAACATATACAAGCTAATTTTAAAGGAATTTCTTACGTTTATCAAGCATTTCCATTCCTTTATTTGAATAGCATCGTGACAAACAGATTGATTCATTTGCATTCTCTGCTTTCTAAGCATCATCAGTGTTAAAAACTCTTTAATAACTATATCTATTTGGTTGAAGAACGTGTGTATAACATTGGCATGCCGATTGTGGGTAGGGCATTTCGTTCAACCTCGAATTTTTCAAGATGTTTCTCATTTTTAACATGATCATTAATACTACGTAACAAATTACATAATAATGTAGAACGACCCACTTTATCATAAATATGCTTGTTGATTGATTCGATCCTTTGTGTACTTTGTGTGCTAGCTGTAAACTATTTATATACCCAGGATATTGTCCATAATTCTTTAGTAACGTAGAGTATATCAGATAAGTACTTTGTTACTGCAGGATATTGTTCAATTAATTGACTCTACTGATGTTCAAATAGGTCCTCACATAATGAATTTCGATATATGTAGAATTTACGTCGAAATTCTTCAAACTGATTGCCCAATTTACCTTTGAGATTTTTTTAAAGATTAATATCAATGTGAAAAATGCATGACAGATGACGTTCATTAGGGTAAATCTCCTCTATTGATCTAATCATAGAAGAATCCAAGTCGGTAAATATTACTCCAGGTGATGTACCAGTTTCTATAAGTATGCTATCAAAAATCCAACAATAAGTGTCTAATGTCTCGTTCTCTATAATAGCACATGCTACTATTCTACTTTTGTAATTATTGTCGATTATAGCTATGATGCAAAGCATCATCTAAAACTGATTAGTATTATAAGTGGTGTTCACTATTATAACATCATTATACTTGTCATATAACTCCTTTTGTATAGGAGACATCCACAAAAGAGATGTTAACCTTCTTGAAACTGGTTCTAACCGAGGTTTCACTACCCAAAGTGGATCTAAATCATTCCATTCCATTAATAATTGCAACATCAGAGAGGCATCTTCGTCTCCTGGATTATTTTTCTGACGAATTTGATAAACTGCATTGTACAAATCCCGCTTATTGATAGGTTTATCTGGATAATCATGTTTAAGCAATGGAAAGATTAATGCTGAATCCATTCGTCCTTATACAATATACTTTTCTATGTCAACTAACATTTCAGGCATCAGCTTTCGAAACCATAGAGCTATTTCACGAATCATTGGCCTAAGTGGGTGATTGTGTTCATTTTTAAATGAATTAATTTTAACAATATCACTTGTTTTTGGGCAAGTGACATTGAGTTTCCAGTGGCACTGGATCCGTTGAGAATGAATATTACGTCTCTTTGTCGGGTCTGATATAATTTGTAGAATATGTGAACCAGACTTAGTGCATTCATAAGTTGCTCTTCGCATCACCCCCTGAACTATTTCACTTGTTCTAATTTTATAGCTGAACCCTTTTTCTAATACAAACGCACATATCCAGGCCTTAAATTCATCCCAGCTAGAAAAGATAAGTCCGGCAACCAATTCTAAAGGTGAGTTATTAGATTCATCTGATTCGCTGTCAAGTGAATTATTATTAGCCAGCGTCGTATTACACTCACAAAGCTGTAAAATAAGTAAAATCTTTCGAATTAATAACATCAAAAAACACGAATCCAAGCAATAAGTGAAATAGCCAAAGAAATCTATACTTGATTGCTTGAAGAATTTGAAATTGATACAACCGATTCATTGTCCAATGGAATAGTATCAATTAATGCTGTGCTGGATTCAGAGACCTATTATTGCAAGAAACAAAATGTTGATTATAAGACTATCATTAGCAAAAGGTGAATGCAAGGAATAACTAGAAAATCACATATGCTCTTAAAGTTGAAGCGAATTCATTGTCTAATAAAACACGATCGATCAATATCATATTAGATTCATAAGGCTGTATAAGATAAATAAGAATTTATTACTTAGAATGCTCAATAATAATTGTGAGTAACCAACGTGAAATGTAACAAACTTGAACTGATTAGACAATTGTTGATTAATAATTAACAATTGTTAATCAGTTTAAGTTTACCACTTTATGTTGGTCTTCATAATTAAATATAAACGCAAACATAAGGAAATAGGGATAAATACCATATGAATACTTGGAAAAGTCAAAGCTAAGGTAACTGATTTATTATTTAACAAAATTCTGTCAGACGATACAATTTCATACTCATAAAGCTTTAAGAAAACAAAGGTAGATCTTAGTCGGCTATAGTTCCATCGATAAAATACAAATGTAAATACAAAGAAATATTTACATGAAACTTTTGAAAGGTCAACGCGGAAGCTGTTTGATTATTAACAAGGTCAGATTCAAAAAGACCGGGTTCAAAATAAAAATCAGGACCAAAAAAATGATCGGGTTCAAAACAATAATCGGGTTCATTCATATAATCAGGTTCATCCATATGATCGGGTTTGTTCATATAATCGGGTTTGTTCATATAATCAGGTTCATTTATATAATCAGGGTTATTCATATAATCGGGTTCGTTCATATAATCAGGTTCATTCATATTAATCAGGTTCATTTATATAATCAGGTTCGTTTATATGATCAGGTTCAAAACGATATTCAGGTTCATTCATCTTGAAAAATATAAATGCTTATAAAATGAGCTTGAGATCAAGAGAGCAAAAGAAATCATTATTGTGAAAATGTTATATTTATATACTAGCATACATCATACTGTTTATACATTATTCATTACATTATTTATAACTATATATATTATATATTATATTTTATTGTTTTGACGATCCGTGTTTAAACACTATGTATAAACTAATAAATTTTCTTTATTTTATATTTATTATATATTTATTATAGTAAATTATAATCATATAATTAATATATTATTATTATATATTAAATTACTTCTAACAGCATTTTTTGCAATATTTTTATTATATTTTTATTATATATTTGTTATATATTAGTAATATATTAATT